ATACATTTAATCTTGGATTGATATCTTGCCTTTGTCTTGAGCTGAAAATTAATTGAAGAAAGTTCTAAACCGATTTCTAACAAATTTGTGTTTCTGTGCTGAATTCACAACTGAAGGCAGCTTTTACTTAAATGGTATAAAAATAGAGAGACAGCTATATTTTCCTCACTCTATGAACAAAAGGTTAAGTGTCTTTTCATTTCCAGCCAGAATCTGCTTTTGAATGTCAGCAAAAAAAAGAAAGAAAAAAATAATTTATCATTTATATGTCACATTTTACTTTTTCATTTTTCTTTTAAATCATGCTGGAGAGATTAGACCTTAGCATTTCTAACCAACTTTCCAGGAACTCCTGAAAATCCACATTGGAGGTCTCAGACTTAACCACAGCATGATAAGTGATGGACTCAAGGTCACAACAGGAGGCACTACGCCAGCATGAATGAAGCTTAGCATGAAAATGAGCTTTTTCACATCTGATCCCAAGGGACTTGTCAGTTCTTGCCTGGGAGGATCATATATCGCAAACTGATAATCCAGGGGTGATTGAGGTAATTACTTACAGTTGTGCTGAAGAGGGATCGGAAAAAGGTGAAGTGCATTTCTGATTTCAGGCTGCGCCACACAGAGGGAGTTTATAAGGCTTTATAAAGCTGCAGTATGTAACTTTTATGCATATAAAAATATATATATTTTTACATATTTGTAAAACTGTCACCATGTTGTGACAGTATGGTACCTCCTCCCAGTACTACTGTTGCCGTCTGAAGACATGCACTGCTTCAGGTGTGTTAGGATCCCTGGTTGTTTCAGTGTTTTGGAGTTTGACTTATTTATTTTAGTTTTATTATTCTATGTTCCTTAGTCTTTTCTTTGATTATTTTGATCCTGTTTCTATTTTACTTTAGTTCAGTTCTTTTTAGTTTTCCTAGTTATGTTAATTTCTTGTGTTTGGTTATTCTTAGTTACTGCAGTTTAATTTTCTTTAAGTCTATTCATTCTTTAGTGTTAGAATTATTTCCTCATCTCCAGTATCCTCTTTCTCGGTGCCTCCTGCTTTCCCCTCATAGCTGCAACTTGTTAGCTCATCAACCTTGGTCTTTTGTTCAGCATCAAATCTTCCCAGTACTTAAGCACCTCGTCCTCAGTCACTCCTCACCATATTCTCTTGTCTAGTCCTGTTACTTCCCAGCATTCTCCCTGATTTATGGCTTTGTTCTGTCTTTGTTCCCTTGGACTTTGTTCTTCATTTTTATTATTACGTCTTCAAACCTGCTGCAATTGGGTCGATCACTACACACATTATGACAAAGTCAAAAACAACCAATCAGAGCCAGGAGAAGGAACTGCCTCCTGGTTGTCTATCAACATTTGGTATCCGCTTCTAAATGTACTAATGGAGGAGAAATAACTTTCCGTTCCAGGAAAACTATTTATCTGCTGTTATCTGTGGTCATGCTAACTAGCCTTAGCATTCACATTGATGGTAACTGTAGCTGGTTGTTTCTGATCAAGCTGTGTATTTCTGCAGTTATCTCTGAGAGAAGGCAGAGGAGCTAGATTTTTTCAATGATTATCATACAAATATGTAAATGAATATGTATAACATATATGTTGTTTTTTTTAATCCCCAGCTTTAAACCTTCTCAAAAAAATAAAATGAATAAAACATTGATAAAACTAAACCATTCACACCTTGCTTAGCTTGCCTGCTCTGATTCAAAGCACCATTGCTGCTTAAAGACAGTGAATAAAATGCTATCATTTCAGGTACTGACAGAGAAGAGGAAACCGTCCCTCATCACCCTCTTGAGCTGCAAACAGAACTGGCACCCTGCCTCCATTCAGAGCCTTAATGCTAATTGCAGGTTCCTCTCTGATCCATCATTTGTCTTGCAGCTTGACAGTAGGAGATTCTTCGGCAATGAGAGCGCACCCACAATCCCGAATGAAACAATTGTTGTTATGAAAGACTTCATGTTTATGGAGACCCTGTTATGTTGTAATGACTACCAAACCACCATCATTTTTTTTTGGTTTCCCCTTCAATTTTGAAAATGTTTTATGCTCATGTTGTTTGAAGAGCAAGGAATGCTGCTTCTTGAAAAATGCTCCTTTCTTGTACTGTCTTGTTATCCCGCAAAGCAGAATTACTATATGCTTACAATGTGACAGAGTGTGCGTCATTTTCCTCTTTCAACAATTTAGAATTGGTGCGACTCACAACACGAATATCATGTTGATATCTCTCTAGCTGAGGTCACGGGAAGAACTGTAACTTCACATGCAGATGTGTGCTCTGTATTTAACCGTGGAACTTTGCTTACTTTTACTCACCTCGCAGTCATTTCAAGATGTTTATCAGATGTGTTATGCAGACACGTAATCCACACAGGCAGTCCCGCAGTAGGCACAGGGCTTAATTTCCTGACTTGAGGTGAAGTGAAAGGGAACAGCGCTTCACCGGGCAGAAGTGGTGGAGAAGGAGCAGATCCAATGAACTTTTAAGCACCCTTAATGAAAGCAAGTCCTGGTTCTTTTTATTTTCTGTAGGGGCTTGCTGGGTTCAGCACACATGCTGTGTTGATTTTTGGTGATCTGTGGTTTCTTTGTGATTAAAAAATGGGCTTTGATTGCAGCCTCAGAAAGAGCTTCTTTCAGAACTTGAAAGATTTTCAGATAAATGTCGGTTCTTTGGACAGCCATCAGAGAAAGATCAACTATGTTATATGTTTTGGCTGCACTTTGATAGCCTTTCAAATGCTTCTATTGACTTTGGCTACCGGTTTGACCAATATTGGCTTTTATTAGTTACTTTTACAGTGGACTCTTTTTTTTTTTAAAGTGTATATTTAGCCTTTAAATTTTCATTCATTCATTCATCATTAAAGTCTTATTAGCTACAGATACTGACATCATCCTGGGATAGGAGATTAGGTTTATGCCGACAATCCATTCAGAGATTGAGGTCCTGTAGTGCTTTGTTGCTGACGATTATATTTTGGCTGGATTCATAATGGAAGTTTTAACTTGCACCCAAAGAAACGTCACATGACCAGATGTTAAATGTACATTTCTTTGTTTCCCCAAAGTAAATTCAAAAATTGCATCAAAGCCATGCAGTTTCCAAGCTGGAATCAAGCTCTAACAGGGCTTTATAAGTCGTGGTTTCCAAACCACTTAAATTTAGTTCTTCAGTGAGTTAAATTCTTTTTAATGAGATCCCAAAGAGGCACAAGGAATGAGCAAAATTTTCCCCCAAAACTCTGCTGGCTCTCTCCCCGAAACCTTGCTGGCTGCAGTTTGCCATTCAGCTGGTTAAAGAAATGCAAATAATAGAGAAACTTAAACAATTAAGTCAACTCTCAAAATGTTTGTATTCAATACATATACTTATGTCGTCATTTTGACACTAGAGAAGCACAACACAACTCTTTCTTTTTTAAGATAACATTGCTGTGTAGCCCGTGGTGGCATCAAGCTACATAAGTAAAGGCTGGTACATATGATGGGGCCATAAAAATGTCCTCTGATATGGCAAGAACAGCTACAACATTGCGTTTGACTAAAAACTCGGACGAAGAATTCTTGGAAAATCCTCACAGGTCCGTTCCACTGTGTCATGTTTATGTAGTCCTTGTCAAATACCATAAAAGAAAAACTGTTCTACCCAGATGATGTGCCAAGAACAAACTACAGCCATCAAGACATTGATGCTCTTGCATCGAGACAATTTTCGTCGATCACGACAAAGATTGATCTCAAATTTTCGTGTTTGACAAAAATTCTTTGTGTTGTCGAACATGAAGTAGGCCTTAAAGCTGCCAGCGTAGGACAAGATATATAACTGCAAGTACTGAACAGATGCTTAGAATAAATCAATGTGTGGATGTGTGATAGCTTTCTTCAGCTGAACAGAGACAAAAGTTTGCTTCTTTGCCACTAAAGAGGAATGATCTAGAGTCACCACGGAGCTTCACTTAGAAACTAGTGATCAGGCCCAAGTTTGGGTGTAGAGATGGATTCAGATATGAACCTTCAGAGCCATACAGAGACAGTTACAAAGTCAGCCTTCTATCACCTGAAGAACATTTCCAGGAATAAAGGACTATTGTGTAAGGATTCTGGTTTTTCTGTGTTTATTAGTGTTCCCCTGTGAGTCCTTGTGGTGTCCTGTCTCCTTCCCCTTGATTGCTTTCCAGGTGTGTGTCATTCCCTGTGATTACCCTCCCTGTGTAATCAACTCCACCTGTTGTTTTTGTCGGGTCCTTGTCTATAGTTTATGCCAAGCTTCTCAGTTACCGTCAGCTGTCAGTTTTCCCCGTGCTGCCCGAGTTTTTGGAGTTTGTACCCTGGCTTTCATCATTAAATAATCTTTTTATTATGTCTACCTGGACCTACCTGCATCTTCCTCACCAACAACACCATCACCTCATGACATATTGTGCTCGTAAAATCTAGAGAAACTCATCCATGCATTTATTTTTAGTAGCATTGATTACTGCAACAGTATCCTCACAGGTGGGTCTGAAATATCAGACAAATGCAGAACACTGCTGCTCTGGTTCTCACTAAACCCAGTTCTGAAGTCCTTCCATTGGCTCCTTGTAGCTCAGAGAATAGACTTTAAAATACTTTTGTTAGTTTGTAAATCACTGAGTGACTCGGCACCAAAATGATTTAAAGATCTGTTGCTGTATCAACTGTTCAGACCACTCAGGTTCTAGTCTGTTCTGTGTTCCCAGAACCAGAACCAAATATGGAGAAGCAGTATTCAGTTCTAATTCTCCACTAATCTAACAAACTCCCAGAAAACTGCAAAACAACCAAAACATTGAGTTCCTTTAAATCAAGACTGAAGACCCGCCTGTTTAGTCTTAATCCCGTTAATTAATAACTGGAACATCGATTAACCTATTTGACATACGTTTGATGACAATTATTCTTGATTTTACTGATGAGATTTGACCAAATTTAAAGTTCGTTGCTACATACAAACTACGTCTTAATGCATAAATGGGATCGTGATAAATTTTGTGCCCAGGAGCGGAAGGCTCAGCAGCAGGAATGTGAGGTAACGTACAAATCCTACATTTATGTTCTGCTGTTAACACACCGGCGAGTTTGTGGTTAGGAGCCATGATGATTGTATGTTGGCATTTAGTTTCAGGCTGAAGTCGGACTGGTTTGTAATGAGAAAAAGAACTGCGGCGCTACTGATCCACTGTGTTCCTTTTAGACTTACCACTCCGCTGACCCCGGCAGTGTCTAATGTCTTACACATGCTTGTCTCTTTAATGAACCCTCAACGCCCTTCTGTTATATTGCTCTGGTGTTGTTTTGATTGTTTCCTAGACTGCGTTTGCTTTATGCAAATGCTGATTTTCATTTCCTAAAAAGTCTCCCACACACACAAAAAAAATAAAAAAGTTTCTTAAAAGTAAGTTATTTTCCTCTGTTCGCCAAGTTAAACTGAGCTGAACACATTTTCAAAAGACAGTCTTCCTCCTGCTGTTGAGGAGTGGACCTCCTCTTCATCCTCCTCCTCTTCCCACAATCCCCTCCTACTTCTCCTCATATAGGCTGGGCTTTGACTCGAGTCAATCAGAAACGGACCTTAACTGTGCCTGCCGCTGGGTTTCTGCACACCCTCACAGCAGTCATTACTCAAACACGCCATCACCTCCACGCCTGCAGCAGTAAACATATGGAGTACTACTGCTTCCTCTTGCTCTGGATCTGCAGCCAACATTTAGGTGAGCAAAAGTTGTGTGTCTTATACTGTGTGTTTGTTTGCACTTTATGCATCTTCAGAAATGCACTTTTGAATATTTTAAGTTTTCAAAGGTTATTCCGTATAACTTTTTAGTTGATGTTAATATTCAGTTTTGTTTAGATCTTTAGGAAGGTGAGGATATTGCCATCTTCATAAAATAATGACCAACATCTTTTTTTTTCTTTTCTTTTTTTTTTTTTTTTTTTT